CAACTCTGTGGGATCGCACTGGACAGTGGGAGGCTACTGGTGGCAGTAGGTGGTCTCGCAGGTACCCTGAGCCTAAGAGAGTGCTGTAAAGGATTATGGAGCGGTATAAAATCCAGTCTATTGCTCTTGCTATTGTAACATTTTACTAAAGATTTAAAAGTAAGATTGCAGGCCAAATAATATCCAAATGTAGAATGTATCAGATCTCTTCAGAATATCAGTGTTGTTACATAAGCTGCCCAAAAGCTGAACTATGGACTATTATTATGGAAGGAGTTTTGCCTCAAGATTAACAGGGAAAGATATTCAAAATACGCTACCACAACTAAGACTATTGTGCTTCTATTGACAAAAATTACTTCCTATAAATCCTCAGCAGATTTAGTTCTTGGGAATTTTTTTTTGGGGGGGGGGGTGACAAACACCCCATATTCTGCCACATGGGTTTACAGGACATAAGCAGTTGTTTACATCAATGCAACTTTCCTGTACGTTTTTTCTTCTCTGAATTCAGAAACTAACACTGACAATTCATAGTATGAGTACATCAGGCTTGTTGCCAGGAGCAGAAACACGGCAGTATATATCTTTTTAAAAATAGCACATTTTTTGTTTTTGTTTGTTTAATGTATTTGGCCACACATCTCTCAAATGCAGCTAACAACACCTAAAAAGAATTTAATTTTTTTTTTTGACATAGAGTAAATTACAGCATAGATGGTGAAAACACAATTGAATTGCCTCTAATAATTTGACTGTATTTTCCAGGTGGCAATATAGAAATAAAGCCTTGGGATGGTTCTGTGCATTATATTCCTGTAGTTGAAACAATCTATTGAATCAGGGATTAAATTTCTTCCACCAAATCTTTCCAATATCTTGAAGAAGACATAGATTCATACCATGATTATGGTATTTTGATAGGATTACTACTATTTCATCTAAGGGCATGCTATTTTTTCTCCCAAGAACTGAAAAATAAAGCATGGTCCAATGACATTTTCTAAGTGGGGAGGACCAGACTAAACAGGGAAGGAGAGAAGGAGGCAAAGAGATGTAGCATATTTCTATCTCTATATCAGCAGCTATCAACTGTTTCAAGGTCATCCCTATTGTTCACATACAGCTGCTATAGTCACGGACACTTCAATTATCACTCACAAGGTTAAAAATCTGAAACAACTACTGTGTAAAGGCATTCTTGTAGAGAATAAGAATGGAACTAGACATAAGATTGATATTTATTTTTTAACATACATTAATTCAGCAATGCAAAATTTAGTTTTATAAAATTAAAAAAAATGTTTTCAGGGTCAAATGATCTAGGAGTAGCCAACGTAGGTGAATTGATGGCATTCTTTGTGGAAACCATTAACAGTTCTTTTTTAATGGCAAGAAAATACTGTAATAAATCTCTAAAGATTGTATGAACTTTCATTTAAATATATATATGTGTGTGTGTATTTTCCTTCAAGATGAAGTACTTTTCCAATCCAAAGAATTAAAATAAATAAAGTTTATAAAGACTTCCAAACAATACTATATCATATTAACTCTGTAAGTTTGTGTGAGCTGCATTTTTTAAATTTTTAATTACATATAATAAACATTGAAAGTAATCATTTATTTGATTATCAGTGTTGATCGGGTTAGTTGGCATATATAATTGCTGCCTATGCAAAAAATTATTATATCAAGTTTTTACATGTAAAATAATATAAAATTTGTTTACCTCTGTAGGTTTGTAGCAATCTACAAGCGCTTCCTAGAAGTACAATAATAAAAGCATTAGTTATCTTTCATTCCTCTTTCACATATCTAAGAACTGGCTACTTCTGGATAGCTCGCACATCTTTTCCAAAGGAAGCATATGCAAAACAGGCTTCTTTCATGGGTGTGAAAATCAGTCATCAAAAGCTTAATACTTTAATGCATATTTTGGTAAGATTTTCTCTCGTCACTCATTGTTATAGCAAAAGTATGATAAGGGAAGCACTCCCCGTGTTAAAGTGTACTGTTTTCCTCACCAATAGAAAGTGACAGACGGACAGTGACACATTCTTGGAAACCCATACAGGTGTGCCATCAAATCACATGAATGCTAATCCTCATACCACAATTCATAGCTGTTACAGACTTAATTTTACCTTTCTTTATTGTGTTTTGTTAATTTGCTCTCTCCAAACATTAAAAGGATGTCCTAGAAGACAGAGAGCCTAAATTAAAGGGGGATTCTGTGCCATTCTCCCAAATCTCTTAAAAATCAAACTAACTTGTAATTTGAGGGCTCTCTCCTCTTCATTAGCAGCATCCAGAAGATCGTCAATATCAATTTCTACATCTGGCATCTCTTCTTCCTAAAAAACAAGAAACCTGGGTGAGAAATTCAACTGTGTTTAAGCTATTTTTTTCACTTCCTTTTTAGTCAGCTCCAAAAAAATTGAATGGCAATTCATTCATTCATTCTCTCTAATAATGTACTCACATACACACACCCCCTTTTAAGCCACTCTCTTGACATTTGGCACTGGGCCAGGTTAAACTTGTAGCCAGCTGGCCACTCTCTGCATATAAAAGAGAAGCAGGTGCCTAGTCCAGCGTTTTTTTAAAAACAGTAACATGAGCTCTCTGGGCAGAAACCTGGGATATGCTATTTATCCTCTATTACTCCCATGCCAATTAGGCCAAGAGCTGGAAAACTGCACTTGAGCTTAGTAAAGTAGATGTCATGCATTCAGACTTGCATTGTTGGAGTCTCTCTTTCATTTATCCTGAGGAAACCAAGAGCAGTTTATCAGCCTTCAAGATAAACCAAGAAAGGAAATAAGACTAGATAAGCTAATTCTACTTGATTGCAAGGCTACATTAACAGAATCTTGCAAATCTGAAGGTACAACTTTCCCTGCCACTTTTAAATGTTTGATCAATTAGGTCAGGGGTGTCAAACTCAAGGCCCAGGGGCCAGATCCGGCCTATCAAGGGCTTAGATCTGGCCTGAGGGCCTGCCCTGGAAACAGCAAATGATTGGCCCGCGGTGCCTCTGCCAGCAAAAACAGAGCTCAGGAGGGCCACATGCAGCCCTCCCGGGCTCGGTTTTAACTGGCAGAGGGCTGCATGAGGCTGTCACAGACAAAAATGGAGTCTTGATGAGTGATATCAAGCTGGCCATGCCCACTCCGGCCACGCCCCCCTCCAAGGTCAAACACAATCCTGATGTGGCCCTCAATGAAATCGAGTTTGACACCCCTGAATTAGGGCTAGTTCTGCCTGTTCCCCCCCCCCTAGCTATTTAGTCCTTGGGGGCTCCTCCCTTTTTTGTCATATTGTTTCTTAGGCAGCATTTCTTCCCCTAGTTCATCAAGGTTATTCACACATTCCATTACACCCTTGTAAGTCTCTTGAAAGCTACATCGTTACTTGCCAACAATTGCAAATGTGTACATGGAAAGAAGAGCAGACAAAAAGGAAGAAAGGCAACCTACTTAGGAGAACAAACTGTCTCCCCCAAGATGACAATGTCAGCTTCAGGAAAAATAAGTTACCTCCTATAATTGTATTCCATATAATCATGGGGGAATGAGATCTTGTGTGAAATTAAGCTGCTCTTAAAATAGAATCATACAGAAAATGTAGTCCAAGCATATTGCTGAAACAGATTCTATGATTCCATTATAGAAATGGATGAAGTTGAGTGAGAAAAGCAATAACAGTTAACTCTTCGGTGCACACACACTGCCAAAACAAGGCCAAGAAAGCCAAACAAAACTAGTTCCATTAAAGCAATAAAAATAAATAAATATTTTTTAATTTACCAACAATCGTGGGAACCAGTTCTTAGATTAATGTGATTTCTCCATGAATCTTCTAAGTTAATTTTTTTAACAAAGCTCTTTTTAACATTATTCTACTTTTAAGAACAAAGTGCAGATAAGTGCTTCCATTAAATTGTTGATTCTAGGTCCAAGCATCTCAGAAATTTGTCAGAAATATTTGCACTATTCTTTTTCTGAAGCTGATATGCCCAGGGACCAACTTCAAACACATGCCAATTCAATTTATAGCACATGAACAAGTTAGAGAAAACATGTGGTAATGTTTGTCAGGATAGCGTAGAAGTAGACAAAAATAAGTAAATAAAGAGGATGCTTAAATTTTACAACATGCAAGGTTATATACCAGCAACACCAATTTAATAGCAATGAAGTCACTATAAATTGCTGTGGTCCAAAGTCCCCTTTTCTGATGAGAGCAACTTTTGCCGAAAGCACCAAAAGCTGGTTCAATGACTGTGGGATTACTGTGCTTGATTGGCCTCT